TGTCACGATACTGGAATTTCCAACTTCGATACAATACCTTGAAAAATATCGATATTCGATACCATTTTCGATACCACGGAGTAGGGTTGTGACGGTGAGGAAATTTTCCCATCGGTTAATCGACGTGTGACAACACCGGTAATCCGTTCAGTTTTTAATTGTAGTGTCTGTTCTTTTACTGAACTAAATGATTTTTATTACTATAAAAAATCTAAACGTGGGTGGGGGTCGGTGACGCGGTGGGTAAGTGACGTAACCGGTGTTGCGGCTTAACACCGGTATCACCGTCAGCACCGTCTATCGCGGCAAGCCTACCACGGAGTAAAAAACTGCCACAATATTAAGGGGGTAATTGTTTATTTTTTTAATCTAAAGATAAATATAACAAGTCTAGAACATGACAATGAGGTATATTTTACATGAACAAAAATGTCTTGAGGTAGTGCACTTGTTCAAAAGCCTCTCAGATTGCCATACATTCAAAAACCAATAAAGTGCAAGTAAAAAAAAAAGTGCAATCTTTTGTATTTCCAAGTAAGAATACTTTTTGAGCGCAAAGAAAACAAAAATTACATAATTTATTTAACAATTCTTCTCCCCCGAGTTACGTCTTCCGCCATTTTGGAGAGTACCCAAGAGCATAATCGACGTAATCATCGTTGTTTATGCTTAAGGGAAAGTGTGTGTATGTGTTGTGATACTCTAAAATGGCGGAAGACGTACAGTGCACTGCATTTTTTTCTGGAAAAAAGTTGACACCATTCGCTCCCTTCAGTCCAGTTCCTCTGCTCTGCCTGTCTTGACTGCCGATTTACAGCCTGGGACTCCCCAACCTCTCTGCTGTTTCTCTGACATCTCACAGCAAGAGGTTGACGACATAATCAGAAAGATGAAACCATCCACTTGCGCCCTGGACCCCTTTCCTACAGCCTTGGTGAAATCTAACCTTTGTGCCATACGTCCCCTGATTACTAAGGTTATCAACCACTCCCTCCAGGCTGGTCATGTTCCACCTGAACTGAAAACTGCTGTCATCAGACCACACCTCAAAAAACTACTTTAGATCCAGAAGTCCTTGCCAACTACAGGCCCATCTCTAACCTTCCATTTCTTACTAAAGTGTTGGAAAAAGTATTTGCTGCACAACTTCAGACCCATTTAAAACAAAACAATCTGTTTGAGAAATTCCAGTCTGGTTTCCGCTCTGGCCACAGCACCGAAACAGCACTGGTGAGGGTCACAAACAACCTGCTGGTGGCAGCAGACGCCGGTTCTCCATCTCTTATCATCCTTCTGGATTTGACTGCAGCATTCGACACTGTGGATCACAACATACTTCTGTATCGTTTACATCACACCATCAGTCTCTCTAACTCTGTCTATAACTGGTTTATGTCCTACCTTACTGGGAGAATGGAGTATGTTGCATTGGGAGAGGCTAAATCCTTGACACACAACGTCACCTGTGGTGTCCCTCAAGGCTCAGTGCTCAACCCCACTCTGTTTATACTGTATATGCTCCCTCTCGGTCATGTCATCAGCCGGCATGGAATATCATTTCATTGCTATGCTGACGACAATCAACTTTACCTTAAGAACAACTTATCCACTTCTGCTGCCCTGTCATCTTCCACCTTGACTACCTGTCTGGAGGAGGTAAAGGCGTGGATGAGGCAAAATTTTCTGCAGTTGAACAGCTCAAAGACTGAAGCCATTCTAGTAGGCACCCCACACCAGGTCCAGACATCTGTCATTTCCAGCATTACCTTTTCTGGCCAAAACATTCCACTCTCAACACCAGTTATCAATTTGGGTGTTAGAATGGACTCTCATCTCACCTTTGAGGCTCATGTTAACTGTGCAAGCAAGACTTCCTTTTTCCATCTTAGGAATATCGCTAGACTTCGTCCTATGCTCACTCTTGCAGATGCGGAAAAGCTTGTCCATGCCTTTGTCTCCTCCAGGCTGGACTACTGTAATGCGCTCCTCATCGGGATCCCTGGCAAAAGCCTACAGAAATTGCAGTACATTCAGAACAGTGCTGCTAGGATCCTGATGAGGGTACGCAAATACGATCACATCACTCCCATTCTCAAATCACTACACTGGCTTCCTGTTTCATTCAGGATTGTTTGTCTCCCGCCTTACCCATCAGTGCATCCATGGCGACGCACCATCATACCTGTGGTGTCCCTCAAGGCTCAGTGCTCGGCCCCACTCTGTTTATACTGTGTATATGCTCCCTCTCGGTCATGTCATTAGCCGGCATGGAATATAATTTCATTGCTATGCTGACGACACTCAACTTTACCTTAAGATAAACTCATCCACTTCTGCTGCCCTGTCATCTTCCAACTTGACTACCTGTCTGGAGGAGGTAAAGGCGTCGATGAGCCAAAATTTTCTGCAGTTGAACAGCGCAAAGACTGAAGCCATTCTAGTAGGCACCCCACACCAGGTCCAGACATCTGTCATTTCCAGCATTACCTTTTTTGGCCAAAACATTCCACTCTCAACACCAGTTATCAATTTGGGTGTTAGAATGGACTCTGATCTCACCTTTGAGGCTCATGTTAAACATCTGTGCAAGACTTCCTTTTTCCATTTTAGGAATATCGCTAGACTTCGTCCTATGCTCACTCTTGCAGATGCAGAAAAGCTTGTCCATGCCTTTGTCTCCTCCAGGCTGGACTACTGTAATGTGCTCATCATCGGGATCCCTGGCAAAAGCCTACAGAAATTGCAGTACATTCAGAACAGTGCTGCTAGGATCCTGATGAGGGTACGCAAATACGATCACATCACCCCCATTCTCAAATCACTACACTGGCTTCCTGTTTCATTCAGAATTGTTTATAAGGTCTCCCTCCTTACCCATCAATGCATCCATGGCGACGCGCCATCATATCTCAAGGAACTCCTTACTCCACAAACTTCTAAACGTACACTCCATTCTGCATCAACATGTCTATTAAAACACCCCAGGACTAAGCTTTGCACTATGGGAGATCGGGCTTTCTATTCAGCTGCTCCGAGTTTGTGGAATGCTCTCTCTGACCATCTACGGACTCCACAGACTGGCAATGCTTTTAAACGTGGCCTCAAAACCTACCTTTTTAGCAAAGCCTTTGAATGATTCTTAATTTTTTTTTTGTTCCGTATCCGTATTCCGTATCACTTCGGGATTCTGTGTGAATATAAAGTGCATTATAAATAAAATGTATTAATATTATTATTTATAGTATGTTAACAATTTTAAGACAAATTTACAACAACATTTTTTTTTAATTAAAAGGGGGATTAATAGGGGATAATAAAATTGTTGCTGTTTTTATTAAATTTTTTTTTTAAAGATTTATTTTTGCCATTTGCTTTTATTATTATAGGACAGTTAGGGCTGGGCAATTTGGCAAAAAATTTAAATCTTGATTCTTTTCAGAATGTTTGTTCTAAACCGAAAACTATTTTTTTACTTTTTTGTCATTAACCCTCTAGTTAAAGAACATTCTATTCCAAGTGCATCACACATGAAGTTGTCAACATGATGAAAAATGCTAAACAAATCGCTTGTTAAATATATTTGCAGAAAAGATGCATGAACTACAACTACATCGTGTACAAACTTGTCTTATACATATTATGTGTTCAGAAATAATATGAGGAAAATGCTTTAAAAAAATCTCAAAAGTCAAGGTAATTCAAATTCAAAACGACTGAAGGTATAGCACCAGTAGGCTATTATTAACTATAAATGGTCTGTAAAAACAACAGCAGCTTTCAGCCTGTCACCATGATGCAAACATGAAATATCAGACATAGAGTAGTAGTTACAGGTTTTTTATTCGCCTGCGCTGCTTTTCCATTGTAACATGAAATATCAGACATAGAGTAGTAGTTACAGGTTTTTTATTAGCCTGCGCTGCGTTTCCATTGTCTTTTTTTATGTAAACATGGACGCGTTTGACTGTTGCGCTCGCATCTCTTGCAGCGTCTCATGCATGAAACGGCATTCTAAAAATGCAACGCACAAGTTAAAAGAAGTTCCCTCCCATCTTCTTGCATGTTTTTCCTATTCCACTGACCGCGTCGCATCTTTGTCAACACAAAAGCGCATTCTGTGTGAACGGCACCTAGCGATATGAGCACGTCACATGTTAGCGGTTAATCACGTGCGCCGACATGCGGTTGGATCGTTCTTTTCTCTTTACTGTTATCACTGACATATTGTCAAAGTTTAATTCTAACTTTTGGCAATATTTCTATTCAAAATCGCGATTCCTCGATTTAAAAAAAATTAAATTGTGGCAAAACATAAAATTCAAATTAATAGATAAAACCGGAAAAATCACCCAGCCCTAAGGACAGTATAGAGATGACAGAAAGTGAAGTGGGAGAGAGAGGGGGGACGGGATCGGAAAAGGTCCTTAAACCGGGATTCGAACTCGGGACGCCCGTAGTGCAACAGCGCTATATGTCGGCACGCTGCCGACATTTTTGTCAACATTTTTATATAAAGTGTCAAAATTATTAAGATTATTATAATAAAACAATTTATTAGTAATAATTCATCTATCGATTTTCATTAGCATAAATAATACATTAATCAATTAATATATAATTCTTATATACTTTTTACAAAACATTTACAACAAATGGCATAAATGCAAAACCGGTCCGACTGAGCATTATTGTCAAGCCCTGTTTGAGCCAAATATCCAGTGTTTGTCAAATCTGAACATCTGAATTCCTCCTCCATTAAAGCATGCAGGCCTCTGAGAGTCACAAGACTGTAAGGAGGCTTATCCAAGAGGTTGCTGACTCTTTCTTTCTTTTGAGCTAATCTCTGATGCCTTTTATCAGTGCTCATGATATGGGTTGTAAAATAGAGGTTTATGTCACAGCATGTGTTGCTTCTGATGTCATGACTTTACGGTTATTTATTCTTGCTTAATAATGAATGTGATTGTGTGTGTGTGTGTGTGTGTGTATGTGTGTTACAGATCATAGAGTCTCTGGGTATAATGATCTACAAGGCTTTGGATTACGGCCTGAAGGAGCATGAGGAGAGAGAGCTCAGCCCTCCTCTGGAGCAGCTCATCGACCTCATGACCAACATGGCAGACACAGAAACAGACTGTCTTGATGAGGGATATGAGGCAACAGAGGAAGAGGATGAGGGAGAGGAAGAACCCACAGAAGTCTCCAACATCCGTGGCTACCGTGACATCATTTCCGTAAGTATTGATAGAGCATTATACATCGGCTAGGTCAATTATTGGCTATTTTGTCATTATTGGCATTGGCCGACAACTGTGATCGCCTGTCCGATCAACAGAAGTAGTGTTTGCCAATTTGGCCAGTGTTTGCCAATTTGGCCAGTTACCAAATCTACCAATAGCCCTGTCAGTTGTGGTTTTTGAGTGAATATTTAGTAAATTCAGTTTTTATTTAATTTATCCTTTTTACCATCCTCAGTTTATATTCCATAAATGTATTTATTAATTTGTTGAATAATAAAATGTATGGGATTTAGTTTACGAATGCTGTTAACTATATAAACCGTATATTTAATTTAATTAAATTTAATTAAATTTAATTTAATACTGAATTTTTATCAATATAAATTTATGCATTAATGAACTTATCAAATTAAATCAAAATTATATATTTATTTATATAAAATAGAAAATGTATAGGATACAATTTACAAATACTATTTTTATTAATATTTTATGTAAATTAATATTTTTAATTGAATAAAATTCATTTGTATTATTTTTTTATTACATTTTAATGAATTAATATTACTTTATTAATGAATTTACAATTTTTTTATATAAATTAATTTTGATTTTTTTTTTTTATCAAAATGATATATTTATTCAATTATTTATTTATTTGTTTATTAAATGCATAATACAATCTATGGGATACAATGCACAATTTCTATTTTTATTTATCAAAATGTTACCGGTAATTGAAACACTTATTAAATGTTAAAATAGAATTTTAATTAAAATTTAATTTAATTAGTTTGTTAATAATTATTCGTTCACACATTAAGTAAAATATTAATGAATTCATTTTGAATTTTAATATATGAATATATTTTAATCTGAATATTGAACAGGCGTGGATCGTAGGAAGCAAGATCTTCCTCACGGTTCCTGAGTTGGGTTTATCTGCTCTCTGTAAAGATCGGTGTGAGTGTTATTTACTGAGAGTTACTCTCTCAGCTGGTATTCATTATGCTGCTCAGTGCTCCCTTAGGCCCACTCCAGTAACGCATTACCCTGAGACTCCATAAAGGCCTTCAGACACTTAGCAGCAGCGTTTATTTTAAATTACAGTCATATTTATCAATAAACTCATGGAGAAGCTCTTTACAAACTGTGGAAAGAAAGAATATGACCAGACTGAGACCACACAGATACTAACATTAGCATGAATTTAAATCATAACAAGGAATACCATGAAAACACCAATGGAAGCTGTTAAATGACAAACAAACGAGCAACATATGGTCAGTTTGGTTCACAGAATGTTCTGCACTATTCTGCAGGGCCATTTCAGGACTTGTTAGATAATGTCTGTCCTTTCATGCCTTCCTTTCAGTCTCCAAATTTAGTGACGAGGTTGAGCGCAGAAATGAACCGTGACATTAGATTTCTCCAAGCTGAACCTGGTGAAACCTTTTAAATTCTCTATTTAGACAGAGAAAGATTGACAAAAATAAAGAGGAACGAGAACAGAAGATAGTGGACTACCTTTGAGGCATATGCCTCTTTCATTATCTCAGCCCATTCGTTTGGAATGGGAAAATAAAAGGACTTCCTGGAGTTTCTTTAACTTCCTTTAGCGCATCCTCCTTAAATTGTTTTTCATTTTTGCCTACTTTTGCTTCTTATCTCTCTCCTGTCAGGTCTAGCAGGTTTTTTCCCCAAGTTGTATTAACTTTCCCTTGTTGTAGACAATATTCTCGTTAAGCGTGATTCCTCAGCAAAACGCGTCACGGGGACGGTGAATCTACGCTGCGTAAGACATTCCTGAAGAGGGCAGAGCTCAAGGGAAGGTGTGGGGAAAAATGTCATTAAGCCGGTTGGAGGTGTATTTGGTCAGCGTAATTGTGCATTTTAAAATACGTGTTATGCTCAAACTATTATACCTGAGACTCTGAATTTAATCAGAGTCATGCTAGCTTTGGGTTTGGCTCTCAGCTATGTGCCAAAACATAATGTGTAACGCCAGGGTTAACTTGTTAGACAGATTCGGAAGATGATTTTCTTAAAGTCTGTGGAAAAGATGCGAGGATTAACTTGTCAGACAGAGTTGGACGAGACCTTAAATGCACTTCTGAAACACAGTCAACTATTTTAGGAAAGAGACTTGTTGACAAACATAACAATTACTAATGATTTGTAGTCGTACTGTAACCAATTTGCTCATGAATGGACCAAAGCAGTGGAATGTTTGAGAGCATTTCTGTGCAGTGTATTTATAGGAACATTCAAATGGGAAAGAATTAAAATTAAACATTCAATTTCTTCTGTGATTCTTTGTTTGCTCTCAATCTAAGGGACAATAATATATGATCATATGATGGTTGCCCAAACAAGAAAGTAGCCTCATGCAGAGTTTCCTAAACTGGGGTTTGTGAATTGGTGAAAAGGTAACAGATACTTTTCAATAAAACCAATCAAAATAAAACACTTGAAATATGTCTAATAAAAAAATCTAAAAATCTAAATATTAAATTAAAATCTCAGAGGGTGCTTAAAGGGATAGATAGAATTTTGTCAACAATTTTTTTGTTTATTATTTTAGGTCAAAAAACAAAACAAAAGAAAATCCCACACACTACCAATACTTGCAAAATGATCAGAAACAGTAATTTATTGACAATGTTTCGGTCTCATGACCTTCATCAGGCATATTCAAACATATAAATGCGAGCTCAATCACATTAAAATGGCATCATCACTGCGGAGGACCATACTAATAACACCAAATGAATACATCATTAACTCCACTTCCTCATATAAAAAATTCACATCAAAAATATATATATTCACACACATTATAACATAACGTTTAATTGTGATTCATCATTCATGCCCATGGGTGATTGCTGCGCAGAGATTGGTCATGATGTCATTTTAATGTGATTTAGCTCGCATTTGTATGTTTGAATATGCCTGAAACATTGTCAATAAATTAGTGTTTTTGATACTTTTGCAAGTTTTGGCAGTGTGCAGGATTTTCTTTTGTTTTTTAGTTTTTTGACTTTTTTGGGTCTTTTTCTCCTACGCACCCATCTATTACCTGCAGGTGTGCGTGCGATCACTGATTGTTAGTTGATATTTTAGACACTGACACTGACAAAAATGTAGGCTTTAATGCTGTGATGTACGTCTCACCGTTTTCTCCTCTGCAGCTGTGCACGTCTCACCTTCCCAGCCCATCAGATGCTCCCAACCACTACCAGGCCGTATGTCGAGCCCTGTACGCAGAGACCAAGGAGCTACGCACCTTCCTAGAGAAGATCAAGAGTGCCAAAGAGGTAATGACCCTCATATGACACTCTTGTCTATTCATGTGTGGATCCAAAATTATCTTACAAGTACCATTACTGAGTTTTAGTTTTTGTTCCATCCATGAAACTGCATTAAAAAAAAAATCTGAAATGCACACACACACACACACACACACGCTTTATCATATTTATGTATGTATGCATACATTTCATTTCTCAGCTTTACTGAAACCACAGAACGCATTATAAGCTTACCAAATTATGTACAAACTGCTTTTTTCATTTCTTTGTTCTTCCATTTAGTTTAATTTGCTGAAGAGCTGTATTTTCAGTTCTGTGTCATTTATGCCAAAAGAGCAAGTGAAATAACAACAACAACAAAAATTTATATTAAGCATCTTACAAAGATATTGACAGGGTGACTATCAAAACAGCTGTATACATGTACAGTACTGAAAGCATGATGCTGTTTTATCAGCTTGAATAGAGTTAGTGGGCTGACAGCACAAGTGACTCATAAATAGGCTGTGGACTGTGGAGGTGGATCTAAATCAGTGCTTTATTACCCAACACATTGTCATATGCTTGTTTCATCAGGTTTTAAGAATGTAAATCTTGTGCTAATATGTTTTTTTTGCTATAGGACTTTAAGTATTCTTAGATATTCACATCTACATTTTGCATTCATAACAAGGACACCATTAAGCGATATATATTTTCTGAGGAATGGGTATATAATAATGTTTGTACACTGAGAAAAAAGGTACAAAAGCTGTGTCAGTAGTGTCTTTACCAAATTTGTTTAAATATATTTATCTTTAAGATATTAATATGCACCCTTTAGGTGTAAACAGGGTGCAAATGTGTACTTTTTAAAAAGGTACCGCCCCACTGACAGCTTTTGTACCTTTTTTTTTCGGAGAGTCTATTTTCTTTAAGTTTCTCTATATTATTTCCACTTTTCTCATTAAATGTCTGAAGTAACAACTTATTGAGACATTTGTAAAAATAAATAAAGACTTGAATGTGCCAGGCTCTTATAGCTTAAGCTTGGTAAGTTGAGCCACTTACTGTATTATTGAGATGACTGTCAAAAAGTGTTTCAGCGATTTATAAACAAACATTATTATGAAGTGTTATTGCTTCTTATGACATAGTAATATGTGCACCATCTGCAGAATTGAGATGCTATCACTGTTTAAGTCTTAAAAACAATATTTGCATATAACATGGCCCTCATACCTTCCATTGAATGCATGTCTTGAACACCACACAGAGACTGAATGTTCCCATCAAGTCATGCAGAAACTTTTTTTTTAAGAGATTCGTTCTGACATTTCAGTTGTCAATTATGAACAGCTTTACCTGCCAATACTTGAAGACATTTCATTATTAAACCGCATCAACTGCTTAGTGTGCCATAGACATTTTTTTTAAATCAAATATTTGTTTTTTATACAAAGCAACATAAGTCCAAAACACCTGTAATTACATTGTGCATTTGAAATGAATAATATATTATGTATTATATAGAGATATTACAGTGTTGTTTTATTACTGCTTTGAAAAAACACTGTCCCTGTTCAGAATTCAACAAAAATGTATTATTTTCTTGAGTTGTGTAACACTAAACTTAACAAAGGTTTGTAAGAATCTGTTTATAAGGGGATTGCTCTGTGATCGCCTAGTCAGACAGTGTTTAGTCCTCTTTAGTACAGAGTGAGCTGTTTAAACTGTAACATGTAATCAAGTGGCATGTGAACACCATGTAATATGAGCCTTATCCCATTGAATGTGTTCTTTCTCTCAGAGGCATTAGTTTGCATTAACCTGCTTTCTATAGTGTAGCTCCTAATCCAGCAGCACCAAGTGGCACTGGGTGGAGGTCACATGTCGGTGGCTGAAACAGGAGCAGCTGTCATGGGTCTTGGAACAGGTCTGCTCAGTCCTGAACCAGAATCTAGTCCTGTTACACCTGCACATTCTAAATAAATACTACTTTTCACATCTTAATAATAACATTATCGAGGTACATATTACTTGCGAGTAATAGAAGTATGAGAATTAGGATGCAGCCTAGATCAACTGCTCAGTTGAATATTACGGACAGGTTTGTTAGGTCAAGGTTAGAACTAAACACTGCAGCATAGCACTCTTCCAGAATGTGGATTAAGTAATCACCCCTGCTTTAGAGGAAAGGAGTGCAGAGAGCGAGTGAAAAGGGGCAGGAAAAATCAGTTGTGCGGTTCTTTTGATCTTCGCCAGATTGACAGAATAGTCTCGCTCCGATGATTCAGAGAGTCTACAGTTATTTTTTTCCCCCTGTGTCTGTGTTTCTTTTTCTTTCTCATGCATGAATAAAATGTTCCTTTTTGGCTTGTGTTTTGTGATGCAGCACAGTTGTGTTTGCTTTAAGAGATCAGACTGTTTCTGCTCAGATATAATTAGCTCTGTGTGTGTGTTTCTGTTCATTCATGCTAAATCTGCATCAGGGCAGGGTAAACCCTAGAGGGGACACACGTCTCTGCTTCACTTTGAGTTCTTCTGAGGGAGACTGCAAGCTCACTAAGAGATTTAATAAGCAATCCAGGCAGCAGCAAAAGAATGATTTATTGTTCTGACCATAAGCCTGATTTACATAATTCGAAGGCTATGCTGAAAAAAAATCCTAATTTAATCATACACAATTTCATTTGTCCTGTGATGGTAAATCTAATTTATTTTGCCATGAATGTCAAACCACTCAAAACAAACAAGATGAGAATATATTCTTGGCTGACGTTTACTGAACACGTTTTGTAATTTGTCAATTAACCAGTGCAGATGAAACAACCATTGTGTCTATCATATATGCCGTTGTCCCAACTTCAACCCTGTGTGGAAATGACCTTTTGCTAGTGGATCAGTGGGTGTGGCTGAAGTGCAGACTAGCTGCGTATTGATCAAGCCTTAATGAGAGTGAATCGGTTTACACACAAGCCAGACCCACGATGGATAAAGCGACATTGACTTTTTTCTTATTTGACCCCAGACTGAGGACAATCTATGTTGTTTTACATATCCAACACCAAAGAAATGCCATCTTTATAAATAGATTGATGGATGGATGGATGGATGCATGCAGGATCTAAATGGCCTCTGGTCCAAGACTTAATACTAATCTTTTTCTATCTTTTTCTTTTTCAGAATTTGCGGAAGATGGAAGGAGAAACAGAGGAGCCTGTCAGAGACCTGAATGAGCTGCAGAATGCTGACTGGGTGAGAGCAGTTCCCCTGAGCATAACGGTGCTGAATGCATTCAGACTGTGCGCTGTTGGTTCAGGACAGTCATAAGCCATGGCTAACTATGTGTTGTGTATATTTTCCACAGGCACGGTTTTGGGTGCAGGTGATGAGGGACCTGAGACACGGTGTGAAGCTGAAGAAGGTCCAGGAGCGTCAGTATAACCTTCTACCCATCGAGTTCCAGCTCACGCCTTATGAGATGCTCATGGACGACATCCGCTCCAAACGCTACAAACTTCGCAAAGTCATGGTGAGCGTGCACATGTATAAATGAATCCTGGGTCATGTCAGCATCTATGATCAAAATCTGTTTTTGAATTTCTCCATGAACACACAAGCATGAGTCATTTTTCCCTTTGTACCAACAGTGCAGTCGCACATTGCAATTCACCTTTATTGCTGTTTGTTGCAGAGATCATAAACCACAACAGTGTTTACTTTGCTTATCAGAAATCAAGCAGGCTTATTTCTGAAGCTGCAGGATAGAAAAAGGTTTTATAGGGTTGAACTGGATCAAGTGAATGACACTGAAATCAGTAAATCAAGATGGCTTGAGGTTACGGTTTAGAAATAGACATATAAGGCTGCAAAACTTTCAGAGAGATGCCACGTCAGAGTCAACACCTTACATGATAGGCCATTTTGAATTGAGTGAGGTAATAGGTCAATTTTTGTTCACCTACCACACCTTTGCCTCCAGTTATTAATGCATAGACAATAGCTGTCATTGATATTATTTTGATGCATTCTTTAGACAGGACACGCATTTGAAATGCGTCCTTTGCATTCTTTCAAATGACACAGACTTTAAGTTTTAGTTCACTGGCAACATATCTAAGATTTGACCACTGCTGTGCCTTCTTTCTGCTGTAGGTCAATGGTAACATTCCTCCGAGGTTAAAGAAGAGTGCTCACGAGATCATACTGGAGTTCATTCGCTCCAGACCTCCACTGAATCCTGTGAGCATGAGAGCATACACAAATACGCTTACCTTTGGTCATATGTGAGCTGGAGTATCTTTAAACTGATGCAGATCAATTAATACAAATGTCACCTATTAACACAAACCTGTTAATCATTGTGCATGTGTATGTTTGAATGTGCTTTAAGGTTTCTGCTCGTAAGCTAAAGCCTCATCCTCCAAGACCTCCCAGTCTTCATGAACGTATCCTGGAAGGGATCCGGTCGGAGAGAAAGCTCAGGCCCGTCTCACCTGATATGATCCGTAGGAGTCGACTCGGTTAGTGCACTTTATCACACTTGCTCTCATAAACACACAGACACTTATTCATTCATGCACATCATTTACCTAAAAACCTAAGCTGGGCAAATATAA